TTTGGCCTCCTAAAGTGCTGTGACTACAGGCGTGAGCCACCATGCCCAGCCAGATTTTTGTTACTTTGGATAAAATGAAGCAAGTAGGCAAACAAATATTACATGCTAGGGTTACAGGTTGCATGTAATATTACAGATTTATAAGAAAGGCAGTGAGGTGTAATGAAAAACCATAATGAACATGGATTCAAAATACCCAAATTGGAGCATATCACTTTCTAACTTACGGGTTCTTATCTCCAGGCACTGTTTAAACTGTAAAATGGTATCTGAATGTCAGTCAATGTTACCACTATGATTATTTTTTAATGTTAGGCTTTTTAATAAACCCATTAAGACAGAATTTGCCTCCAACAGTACTATATCCTTATAATGAAACCACTAAGAGTATGACAAAGTGGAGAGGCTTAACTGAAAGAAACCTAAGCTTGGACTCAAGTGCTAGCCTAGATATTTAAACACTAATCTCACTAAGTGTTAAGATAATGTCAATTATGGGGCTTAAAATGAAGGTGGGCAGGTGTGGTAATCACGCCTGTAATCACAACACTTTGGGAAGCCGAGGAAAGGATCACTTGAGCCCAGGAATAGCAAATACAAAATAAAATATAATGGATGAACTATGGAAAAGCTCTTTTCCAAAAATTTTATAGACTTCTTGCTAGTTATACTAAAAACAAAGCAGGATGACAGTGGAGTCAAAAAAAAAAAAAATGCAGATTGGAATCCTGGCTCCCCCACTTACTAGCTGTGCAATTTGAACACCTTACTTAACCTCTCAGGCCTCCAGTTTCCTCAAGTGTAAAACAGAATAGTAAAACTAGAGGTAACTAGCCGGGCGCAGTGGCTCACGCCTGTAATCCCAGCACTTTGGGAGGCCAAGGCAGGTGGATCACCTGAGGTCAGGAGTTCGAGACCAGCCTGGCCAACATGGTTAAACCCCGTCTCTACTAAAAATACAAAAATTAGCCAGGCGTGGTGGTAGGCGCCTGTAATCCCAGCTACTCGGGAGGCTGAGGCAGTAGAATCGCTTGAACCTGGGAGGTGGAAGTTGCAGTGAGCCAAGATCGCACCACTGCACTCCAGCCCGGGGACAAGAGCAAGACTTCATCTCCAAAAAAAAAAAAAAAGAAAACAAAACAAAAACTAGAGGTAACTGAGGTAAAACATCTGGCTCAGTGTCCGGCATGCAGGAAGTGTTCAATAACCATCATTAAATTTGAAAGAAAATTACTAAAATTTGCTACAAAGTTTACTATAATAAAAAATATCTGAATGGTAAGTTTTAATTAAGTGACTAACACAATTCAGCACATACTACATTAACCTACAAGGGTTATTACTATATACATTTAATGCCCAGGTGACACAGCAAGGAAAACATGAATTTTCACATCTCTCGATCTCTTAACTAGAGACTCTTTATTCAGTAGTCATCTACTTTGGCTATTCTACAAGATGCTACACATCTGGCTAACAGGTACTCGCCCTTGTTGTTGTTGTTGTTGTTGTTGTTGTTTCTTTTGGAGACGGAGTCTCTCGCTGTGTCGCCCAGGCTGGAGTAAAATGGCACAATCTCGGCTCACTACAACCTCCACCTCCTGGGTTCAAGCGATTCGCCTCCTGCCTCAGCCTCCTAAGTAGCTGGGATTACAGGCTCCCACTACCACGCCCAGCTAATTTTTGTATTTTCAGTAGAGACCAGGTTTCACCAGATTGGTCAGGCTGGTCTCGAACTCCTGACCTCGTGATCCACCCACCTCGGCCTCCCAAAGTGCTGGGATTACAGGCATGAGCCACCTCACCTGGCCTCTTGGTTTTAACTTAAACATCTTTTTTTATATATATAGCTCTAACCCAGAGTGGGAGATTTAAGGTGTGTGGCCTCCAGTTACAACATACAAAAGCATACCTATAAAACGATTTCAATGAACCAACTATCTAAAATTCATAGAGCTGCAGTTATTTTCTCCAAGAAAAACACATCTTATACAGCCATAATTTTAAATTAGCTATTATGTGATATAAACATTTCATGCATCCACAAAAATTCTCAGTGAGAGATCTGCTATCTGCTTACAGTTGTAAAATTATCAGTTCTTTAAGAAGCAAAGACTGTAATTTTGAGGATTTAAAATATCATTTGATGTAAATGTTTAGATCTGCTTTATTTACGTATCTTTTATTGACTGAAAGTAAATATTTAAAATATTTTCAACATATAAGCAGTAAGTTTATTTACTACTTTCTAAGAAGCCAATTACTAATTGTCTCAGTCCTTGTAAATTAGGTCAATAAAGAGGCAAATGGTTTTAAGATATACTCAATGAACTTCATTAACACTATCATTTCTAGCCATTCTCATCTGTATTCTGGCATGGAACACATCACATTATACTAAGTGAATAGCTTTTAGTTTATAAACAAACACTTATTTAATCATGAAATCATCCAAGAAGGATTCCCCCCCTTATTCTTTTTTTTTACCTTCTCAGATCATATTTAGAAAGCTTTAGTTGCCAGCTACATCAGCTACAAGTTAAAAAGAAACCTCTTAATAAAGCAACAAATTTTCTTAGCACTTTATTATAGTATGCCACCCCTACAGAGACTGTAAATTAAAATATAAGAGAATTATAAAAATAGAAAATAGCAATGTAATTTTAAAGTACACACAAGAGAATACTTTCCAACAATTATTCAACCTAAAATGAATAGCAAACTGATAAAGAGCTAATTCCACAGGCAAAAGACTGTCCCCGACTCAAATCTTCAGTATCTGGAACTGCCTTTCAAGATTCCTGTTAACTGCTGAATATCTATTCAGTAATTTTAGTGACATTCTGGATTTTTACAGTACTACTGAATACGAAACCACCGTAAATTAACTTTAGTGGGGCTCTGTACATGAGGGTCATCCAATGTCCTATTAAAAACCAAATAATATATTCCATAATATCTTCTTCTAGTGATCAAGTTAAATACTAAAACTCTAAGAAGGCCAATTCTTTGATTTTCTCCACTCTTCGAGTACAACAGTAACACTGTAGCTCTGAACTTACACTCACCTCAAACACTTCCTATCTTGACCTTCGTGGATCAATTCAAATTATTTTCCAGTTCGCATAGTAAGAAATCAAAGAATAGATTAAACTGACAACCCTTAAAAGTTTTCACTCCCTGCACCTACTTGTCCAGTTTCTTAAACTTTTGTCTCGCCGTCTTACAATTTCATCTCTCAAATGGAGATGAAGAAAAACACCGAGTAAGATTGTCCACTGAGCTGTGAGTGATCCCAGGTCAGCCTGGTTCTCTGCCAGAAACGACCAGGTGACATTTACTCTTCCTGTAGAAGTTTCTTTCTCTTGACCCTCAAGGAACCTTCCAGAATATTGTTACACTATTATAACTCATCAGTAGTTACAATACTTCACTTCCCAAAGGAATCTCTTCCCTGCACGATGACTACTCTCTAAAGACGCTTTCAAGACCTTCCACTCCTCAACTCCAGGACAGTAAACCTCCCTCGCTAGAGGAGAAAAAGTTCCTAAAAAACAGACCGGAATGGATTTGCTGAACTTTCGTTCCAATCTCACAGCATGTAGACATCCAAGGGTTCCCAGAAACAATGAGCTACAGAAGTACAGACTACACGGGGAAAAAGAGGAAGTATCAGAACAATACCCAAACCAAACACAGCACCGAAAACCCGTGGTCGCCTCTATCATCCCAGACTACCGCCCCCACTTCCCTAGTTTCACCAAGGTCTCAAACTTGGAGAAATGGCATCCATCCCCTAATTTCCTCCCTCAATAGACAACAAACGCGTCACGAAGAAAGTGGCAGAGAGAAAAGCAGCAGGCTCTGGTGGACCGGAGCCGTGATGGCTGGGTAGAAGGAGGCAAGCCAAGGGTTGTGTCAAGAATGGAAAGCTGAGCGATCCTGGGGGAGGGGGGAATTAGGGCGCCCAAGCTAATCCCCCGCCGGGGCCCGCCGGTGGGAAGAGACGGGGGGCGAACCGGCGAGGGGACTGGGGGCAGCCGGCTGCCGGGTCACAAGAAAGGGGAGCAGAGTCTGGCAGCCCCGCCAGTGGGTGGGTGACGGCGCCCGCCAGGGAGGAGGCTCCGTCCGGGGCGGACGTTTTGGGATGAGAGAGCGCGACCCGTCCTCCTCACGCCGCCTGAGCCCCCCAAGCTCACACCTCAAATCTGCTCTTGGTCACTCCGTTCACGTCCCTCCTCATGGGGCCGGCGGGTGCGGCCCGGGCCGGGCTCTGCGGCGAGCGGAGTGCAGACCTGGGGCCCAGGACAGGCCCGGGAGTTCCGGGATGGGGACTGGGTGCCGAACGGGTGAGGCCGGGGCCGTGAGACGGGAACGAGAGACCTCTCGGCTCCGGCTGGGCCTCCACCACCTCCCGTGGCGCCAGCGGCCGCAACGACTGCACGTCGCTAGCTCGGCTCTCTCCTCAGCCTCAACTTCAACCCAAAACAAAAACACTCCCCACCTGCCAGCAACGCCGCTGCTCATTGGACAGAGCCGCCCGGGCCTCGGAGCGCCGGGGAGGGGGAGGGGCGGGAGGAGGAGGAGCGCGGCGGCGGCGCGAGACCACCCCTCCCCCACACGGGGCCGGCCCTGACGGTGCGCCCAGGAGCATCCGGAGCGCGGCGGCGGCACGACCCCCTGCGCCTCCGAGGCAGGCTAGCCCATCGGGAGAAGGCGAGGCAGGGAAGTGCCTGTGCGTGTGGAAAAGGGGTCTGTGGGGTGGGTGCGAGTGCGCGCGTGCTCGCGGACCGGCGAGGGAGAGTAGAGCAGGACTGCACTCTGCGCGGGGCCCCTCTTCTGCCCCTTGTCTCCCTCTCCTCCCTCCGCGGGCAAACAGGCACGCACCCACCTGCACAGAACCTCAGCCTCTGCCCGCGCCCCCAACTCCTCGTTACTTGTTCCCCAGAAGCCTGTAAGCACCCTTCCCGGCCACCCAGCTCCCTTCCCCTGTCACTCACTGTCGCCTTGAACCCAAAGTGCAGCAGGCGGTCCCTGCTCGGAGCCATTTTCCTCCTCTTTCTGGATGTGTCTAGATTGGGGCAGTGCGGCTGCCGCCGCCGCCTCCGCGATTGCCGCCGCCGCCGCCGCCTCCCCCACCCGAGTGTATTACATTACGGGGTGCTGCAGGGAGGCCTGGGGGGCCGCTGCCGGACCCTTGTCTCCCTGTGCATGGCTCGGGAGGGCGAGGGCTGGTTGCGCTGAGCGGCAGGCCGAGTGCCCGCCCTGGTCCGGGGATGGCTGCGGAGCTGCACCTGGGGCCGGGGGTCGGGGGTGCAGGGCCGGAGCCGGGCAACCTTTCCTTTGGCCGGGGGAGGGGCGCGCGTCTGTGGGGGTGGGGCGGGCGAGACCGAAGGGCCTTTGGTTTTCCCTGCTCGGCCGCCGCCGACGCCCAATGGGCTGCAGAGCCTGCCTGTCCGCCAGTTAGGGCGCTGTTTGGTGAGAGCCTCGGCCTGACGTCATTTTGGCGGGAGAAACAAGCGTGTGTGAGCGAGTAGGCGGGGGCGTTTTCCCGATGGAAAGAAACACTTCATCATACTCCTGGGCTCGTCGTATAGAAGCTGATCTGTGTCATCATATTATATTGTTTTAACAAGTCTGACCTTCAAGGTCTCAGAATTTATGACCAAATTTCCACGAAGGAATAACCCAGGATTTTGTAGTTGTGTTGCTTCTTCTACGAACAACAAACTACAAAATCATGTCCTAAGCGTGAACTATTAGAAACTGTATAATAAATTCCAGCAGTCCTGGCAGGAGCAGCAGCACTGCTAATTGTATTCTTCCAAAGCAGTTATGAGTTGGTCTTCCTCACACCCCTTTTAATTAGTGGTTTTAGCGACTGACTTGTTATGCATCTAAGAAATTAACAAGAGCAACAAGTGCTGCAGATCTTTAATAGGTGTATTTTAGCTGGAGGGCATATTACCAAACTCTTAAAGCACTGTACAAACTTTTTTTTTTTTTTTTTTTTTTTTTTTTTTTTTTTGAGACAGAGGCTCAACTCTGTCGCTTAGGCTGGAGTGCAGTGGCACGATCTCGGCTCACTGCAACCTCTGCCTCCCAGGTTCAAGTCTCCCCAAGTAGCTGGGATTACAAGCGCGCCGCACCGCGCCTGGCTAAGTAGAGACGAGGTTTCGCCATGTTGACCAAGCTGGTCAGTAACACTTGACTACAAGTGTTCTCCCACCTCGGCCCCCAGAATGCTAGGATCTTTTTTCTTTTGTAGAAATAGGGTCTCCCTATGTTGCCCAGACTCGTCTGCAATTCCTGGGCCCAAGTGATCCTCCAGCCTCCTCCCAAAGTCCTGAGATTACAGACCTCATGTGAGCCACCACGACCGCCCCTCCGCTTTTTTATTAATCCTAGAGGGGGCTTCGTAAAACCAGGGACCTAGCTTCAGAAAACTCATTCTCAGGCCCACAAACCCAGGTCTGTCTTCTCCTCCTGTTCCAGGTACTTTTAATGTTTTTGCTTAACTTCAGCCAGTGGAATAAAAAAGCTTTTCCATTCTGTCTCATGTAAGAGCTGTTTTCTCCCAGCAAAAACTACTGATGCATTTGGTGAGTAACACTGGCAAAGGATAGAAAAACTGGCCTACAGATTAATAGAACGAAGGCAAGTTTCACAGGTCTGTCAGTTACCCATTCCAGTGGACCCATTTCAAGTAGTAATCAGGGAAGACATTTACTTTTGACTGACTCTTTAAAATTGACTGGAGTTTTGAACAAATGAAAAAAGTATTCAAAGTCTAAAATTTTATTACACACACGCAAATTACTTTTTATCAAAGAAGTTTATTTGCATGTAAATAAACAGGTTATTTTGTAATGTTTCGGGAAAAAAAATCCCACAACAGATTTCATCTACTTTCAAAAAAATGAAAAACCCCAAAGTATTTACAGAACGGCCATATGCGCAGAAAACCAAATTTGAAAGATTTTTTTTTAAAAAAAGACCCTCCCCAGCTGCTCCTGATGTACATTTTTAAACTCAAAATTTTAAGCTCAGTTCTTATAGCTGAACATGTTTCCCAATCTAGCTTCTGAGATGTTAAGTACTTCCTGCCCCTCCAAAAACTAACTCAAGGATAGAAATGTATGGGGGGTAAGAAGGGGAGAAGGAAAAAAAAAAAAAGAGACTGCCCAAGGATTGTGAATAATGTTTCCTATACTGACATCTTTAAGTGACTCAACTGTGGATACTGTATGACTCACTGGCTTCCTGAAAGGGCTTCTGAGAATTCATGATATTGCTGCACTTAATTTTCCGATCTAGGCCTGAAGAAGGAAAATCTTTCAAGAGTCACCAACCTCAAGCCTGGTTTTGGCAATTATATCCTGCATTGTTTGTCCCCACCACCCCACCCCCCACCCACTAAAATACTTCTGTTTTAAGACACATTGACATTGAACCTGAAATCTTCATGTACATCAGAGCAGGTTATGACCAAGAACCCCTAATGTTATAAGCCAAAAGACAGAAGAGGAATCAGGTCAAACTGAGAATACGTAAGACACCAGCAGCAGAAGATAGGTAGAAGTTGACTTCATGTCCTTGCCTTCTTTTGAAACAGAAGAATGAGTACACCTAGACAGGAGGGAGGTGTCCCAGGCTTGGTTTATTCTGCCTCTTCTCCTCCACCCTGTGGAGAAATGCAGTGCTCCCTGGTTCTCAGGCAGGGTGAAGCAGTTTAGCCCCGGCTCCCTGTTAAGCAAGTTCAGATGCTGGGTCAGTGTGGGGGTGAGCCCATCGACAATTCAGGGGCTTATCCTTCATCCAGATCCTAACTCGGGATTCTTTGATCTGGGATGAAGACAGAAAGAGAGAAAAGCTTCCCAGTTTACTCATTTTGGTATTTGTTGGCCCTGCTTGGGGGAGCTGAGCCCCTGATACTATTCAGTACATTCCCCATAAGATTTTCCCCACCCAGAACAAATTTTAAAAACCACGTAATTTCTTTTTTTTTTTCCTGCAGAAACCAACTGGATAGGATTCAAAACTAGGTGACAAACTCGTGAGAAATCCAACCTGGCTGAATGTCTGAGAGGCTGCTACTGTATCAACATCACAAGATAAAGCACTCTGGTATCACCTGCCCATATCCTCCTTAGTGTCACCCAAGACATTTGACTCTGATATGGTAACTGATAACTTTTCTTGCTCCACTTTGCAATGTTTTGTTTCCTACATCTTATTACCTTGGGACACAAAAGTGGCAGAGTTGTTGAGAGCTGATGACCATAAAAAGGAGAACACTAGAGGAAATGAGACAGGAAAGAAAGCCAAAGCTGATTTTCCAACTCTATGCTGACTCCAACCTGCAGAAAGAGCTGAATATAGAAATCTTCTTCCATATATGATGAAGTCACTCCACTTATGACATAACACACAGAGGAATCACCTGGCATTTTTTTTTTTAAACCCAGAAGAGTTGTGCTGGGGACCATGCCCCATCCCGCTGATACAGATCCTGAATGGAATAATCAGGAATGGCACAGTGCAGGTGTCAATATCAAAGTAAGGCCGCAGAATTTTTGAGAGGACCCTCCAAAAACTGAGAACTTCTGTTGCACTCAAAACAGTCTCCTGGATTTCTATATTTTTATATGAAGGGCTCTTATTGATGTCCTCCAGAATCCAGACTCAGACCTATTTCTCCAAAAAGGTCCAATTGGGTTGCTACATAGTAGCAAGGGTTTATCTTCATGCTCACCTAGCATTCCAGGCCCCCATTACTTCAAGTGAGCTTGAAATTGTTTTAAGTGAACTATGGCTGCGGATTTGTTACTGTTTTATCTCAGGGAGCATACTGTGGAGTGATTTAAAGTTTGGACTCCTTCTCCTTGTGATGAAGAGAAACAGTGAGTCCAGCTCTTAGGAATGGCATCAGTTCTCCTGCAAACAAAATGCTGGGATGCAGACTTTTGGCACATTGTGGAAACAGGAGAACTATTAATTCTGTAATGGTTTTCATGCCACCGGGTCAGGAAGGCTGTCACTAAACCTTACTGCATCTGAAAACGTGTTTACATCCCAACAAGCCACGTTAGTTGTTTTTTTTTTTTTTTTTTTGAAAGGAAAATGAGATTACAAGTCAATACCTCCACAGGGAGGTAACTCCTAATATTCCTATGATCTCTGAACCCTATTTAAACCCTCCTAAAATAAAAATATCATTTTGGTTTTTCTATTAATTTAACTCTAAAGGCAGGGTCTGACCAATCTGCTTGGGCTTGATGCTATAGTATTAGCACAAGCTACAAGCTCCCTACCACCATATAAGCCTTGCTCTTCGGCCTCCCATCATTTTGAACCCTAAACCTCATAGATTTAGAACGAAACACTGTATAAAAACAAACAGATAAAAGGTTAAAATATTACAAATAAATAGCTAAAATAATCTTCCCTCCCCCAGTCACTCCTAAGAAACAGACACCAAACATTACTTAAGTGTCCAAAATGACCAAAGTCCTTCATTTGCCCATGACTCAAATGGACAACTACCCCAAAGTTGAACAACCTTCATGCAAATGCATCAAGGAATGTATTGCTTTTTCATTTTCTGCCCAGCCCTTCATATACATGCACTAAAATGAGTTTAAAACATGGCCTAAAAATGGAAAAAGGGAGAAGAAAATATATATGAATATTTCCCACAAAACTGTTCCCCCCCCTTCCCTCTCCCTACACCCCTCCCACCCCCCTCCCTTTCTTAAGCAAGTATTTTAACTTTTTCTTTCTGGCACAGGAACAAAGACTTCTTGGTAACCAGAATCAAACACTGTGGTTTCTTTAATAGGGTCTGGATATGCCTTTCTAATTCACCCAGCTCGATGTCAAAGCCATGCCATTTAGGATTCTTAACCAAATCAGACCTGTCTGACTCACCCCTTATGGTGGTTTGCCTATAAACTTATCAATAGTTTCTTTTCTCTGGCCCTGTTTCTTTTAGGAAATAAGGTTCCTAATTCCCAATCAGGGCCACATCCATAAGATCATCATCTTCCTCCCCAATCATAAAGTCTGGGCTGAGCCTTGAGGGTCTATCTGCAGATAAGATTGTGTTACTTGTCATAGACAAGGACTGGTCTGAAGAGATGGGTGATTTGGACCAACTCTCTGGCTTGATGCTATGAGATTTTTTCTTGTCTCGGTCTTTGTCCCGGTCTCGGTCCCTATCTTTGTCTTTTACTTTCTTCTTTTCCTTTTTGTGCTTCTTATGTTTCTCTGTGCTGTATTCAGGAAGTGGTCGGATACCATCATCTGAGCTGGGACTATTCTGATAAGATTTCTCTGCTATGGAGGAGCCTGACTCACTTTC